CAGAGAATAAATTACTCCAAATGATTACAAGTAAATATTAACTAAAAATTGTCTTAGATCTTATATGTCGAGGGGTTACTCAGTTCACCAGATTTATATATTAAATAACACATTAAATAAAAAGACCCATCTTTTTTAAATAATTCTGTCACTTTTGGTCTGAGGAACTTTTATTTTTACTTTTTTATAAGTGCGATACAGTCATCATGCTTCCAGGTCCGGTGAATAATGTGTTCAAACAGAAATCTCCAACCCTGGCCTTCAAGGTCCAATACCCAGCATGCTTTGGATGTGTCTGTGCTCCAGGACTCCTAACTGTAATGACTGCTTCTTTATCTCCTCAGGATGCCATTAAAAGTAGAAAAACTGGTTAACCCCCATTCATTTGATTCATGTGTGTGGCAGCAGAGAAAAATCTAAAACGTTATTATATATGATCCCGCTTTTATTGACGAAAGTATTTGTTATTCATGATCAAACGTCATTATTTTAATTTAGAAGACAAACTAAAAGCAACTTTTCATCTGTTAAAAGCAAGTAGTAGTTATGAATAAGACAGTACTTCATAAAACAATGCAACAATAATAACTCATCTGTGCAGTGTCTGCAACTTTCTTAGGAGACCACTGATGCATCACATAATTCCTGATTTTAAACGTGATTCAACAGAGCACCGTATTTGTGTGTGTGGAGGAATCATACGTCTGGATGGCGTTCAGTCCTGCCATGTACATCTTCAGCAGCCGGTCTTTCCAGTAGGCCCTGGGTATCCTGCTGTAGTGGATGCTCCCTGATATGTAACGAAATTGTTCTCCATCCTTACGGAAACAGTTGTTTTCGTAGTCCACGCTGAATGATGGAGACGTCCCGATCTGCAGGTCAAAACACCATTGTCTGTCACTGTACACTTACACATGCGCAGTACTTCCCATAGAGTTTCAAGTGTATAGCCCAGAGATGACACCTCAGGTCACTGTAGGGATGTAGAAGCCAAACACCTGAAGACACTTAAAATGTTTTAGTAAAGAATGCTGCAGATTCATCAACATGATCAAAAATATAATCATAAAAAAATCTTAATTAAAGCTTTAGTCAGTCTAGACCCCTATAAATTGCAACACATTATTTACATCCATCATTTTTAGCTTAAAATATCTGTAAAATATATGTAATTATTATATGTTAAGATGTCAATAAACCATGAAATCTGCTCATTTCAGTTTAAACTGTTATACAAACTCAAAAGAAAGTTTAAAGACTTTAGCTAGGTGCTCAGAAATACTCACAGAGTGTCCAAACATCATCACCAGCAGCAGCAGAAAGACGCTGTTAAATCGGAGCACCGACATGATGAGTCTCTCTCACAGCTAGTGCTGGGATGTTGCTATATTAAAACTTCTTAACAGGAGCCGCAAACACCAACAAAATCAGATATCTAGCCAAGGATTTCCCACTGAGTGTACTGAGGTGTTTTTCAATGAACAGCATCACAAGTTGCGGAAGTAAAAATCATGTGACCGCCTGGTCCCATGAAAGATCTGGGATGCAGTCTGCCCAGTAGATGGCACTGCAGAGTGTTTTAGTACGGTGTTCATTTTAGGACATCCTCAGGACTCAAGAAAAAAAAAACCGCACACATTAGAACAGTGTATAAAGTTTCAGATGTGAGGCCATAGACAAAAAGTTACCAGCCCTCTCACTAAAAGGCATTAAAATGAAAAGTCTTTTCAAAAACGGCCTTAGACGAAAAGGTCTTATTTTTGTAAATATAAAGTTCTATAGACTACGAATGTAATTTGCCGTTCCTCCCTCACACCAACAGATGGCGACAACGCACAGCTGGATCTACGTCAGAACCGGAAATAACGCATCATACACAAGGCTGGGAGCAGGCACACGTGGGTCTTGGAGTTAGTTAAAGTTATGTACTTTTGCCTGTTTTATTAAGAAGTATGCCGAAGAGAACGAGGGCCCGGTCGGAGGAAAACAGCTCAGTGGAGCTGGTTGAGGATCCGCCAGCGGAGGGCAGGCGGACCCGTAGCGGCCGCACGGTGCGCCCTCCTGCCGCATTGCAAGACAGCACAACCCCGGTGAGGACTCCCAGCAGAAGGACCAGGAGGTCCGTCCTAAAGGAGCTGCCACCGCCGGCGGAAGAAGAAAACCCCGAAGATACGGAGCAGAAACCAGACAGTCCGACCGTGGAAGAATCCAGTGCGTCTACGGAATCAGAACCCACAAAAATTACAGAACCCGCCGGACCAGCAGAACCCACAGTGCCCTCAGACCCACCGGCCCAGGCAGCAGTCATGGAAACGGATAAAGCCGATGATGGAGGAGAACATCAGCTGTCCAAGTCTGCACCAGCAGAAACGGCTCCTGTAGGTTCAGGTAGCATCCCGAAGAAGAAAGCTCACCTGGCTCCCAGTGCCAAACCGATCCCGGCGGTTCCGCTGGGAAAACCAAAGTCAGGAAGAGTGTGGAAGGACCGGAACAAGCAGAGGTGGGATATGTCTTCAGCTTGCTGAGTTGAAGCTGAAATTGTATTATTTCTGTTCGGAAAAGTTCTTTCTTAACCTGTCTGCATGAATATACTGATAAAATAAGAAATCCAGTGGATTTTATGATGGAAACTGTTAATTTATTCTCAAATAAACAATGCAGCCTGCTTTGTCATAACACCTACAAACAATCTGGATTGTTTTTTTTTTTTCAATGTATGCAGCAATTATTCTTTAAAAAATATTGACTAGTTATGCAAACATATTGTTAGTAAACACTCACCTGTATGTTACCGTGATGTTTGCATCCAGGTTCTCTTCGTTGGTCAGAGACAAACCTCTGTGCTCCTCCTGGGAGAAGAAGATGCAGGCCAAGCGTGAAAAAGACCTTGTCAAACAGTTCACTGTGAGGCTGAAGGAGGAGAAAGCCCAGAAGAAGGAGGTGATGTGATGCAGAGGTTCTGGAGAAGTCATGCTCTTGCAGTTCTATGTCTAACAGACTGTGCTTCATTTTTTTTTTCTTTTTAGGAAAAGAGGAAAAGACGAGAGGAAAACCTGAAACGGCGCGCAGAGAACGAACGCAAAGCTGAGATTGTACAAGTGGTATGTATGCAACTCTCCTCACAGTGTCAATGTTGGTTTTTCTCCGCACAACACTGTGAACATAGGCTGAAATGTACACAGAGCTTTTTAAGGTGTTCAAAGCTCTGGATATTATTCTAGAACCAAACACTGCTTTAAACTTCTCCACACCTCGCGTCTGCTGCGTTCCTTGGTTCTGTTTATTCGCTCACGTTCTTAAGGAAACTTCTGAGGCATTCACAGAACAGCTGGATTTAAAGTGAGGGAGTACAAATGGAGGCCCACATTTTATTTGAAAATCTTTGACATGTTTATCCTCTGATCACGTAGAGTCACAAAGGATGGGGAAACATAGGCACGTATGAAACTCCTCGTTGGTTTTTGTTTGACAGATCCGGAACACGGCAAAGATCAAGAGGATGAAGAAGAAACAGCTGAGGCGCATCGAGAAACGAGACACTCTGGCTCTGCTGCAGAAAACGCAGAAGCAGAACAGCACAAGCAAAGTGCAAAAAAAAGATTAAACAAGATTTAACTTAAGAACGGTGACAATAAATTACATCTATTCAGAAAATTGTCTACATGCTGTTGTTGGATATCGTTGTTCAGATCAAGTTCGGACATTATTCTTCATTTGTGCTTCCAAACACAGAACTAAGAGTCACAGTACATGGAAAAGGTCAGGTTTTTTCCCAGTCAACTTAATAACTGGTCTAAATATACTCGGCTACTTTTTTGAGGTCCACCTTTCTGGTTCCTGAGTGGACCCCCTTTTTGCTCTCAACACAGTGTTAATTTTGCATGAAGGATTCAGCATAGTGTCAGACATTATGTGATTGGCTGATTCACTACTTGTGTTTCAGAATCAAACATTCACCCAATAATGTTGCTGCATATATACTTATTAAAATACTATTGAGCAAATATTAAATCAAAATGTTGCCATTTGTGAAAACACTCCATGAAGTGGAGATTTCTGCACATCAGGAAAAAAATTACATTCTGATATTTCACATCAACTTTGCTTTCATTTGTCTGTTTACTCAATATTCAGTTTGTTCAAAGGCAGAAACTGCATGAAGTCGGTCATCTCAAAAATAGGATCATTTAGAAAGAATTATGGCAAAACATAATAAAGTACTTGATTTAACCACAAAGGGGCGCTGATAAATCAAAGTTTATTTATGAGCCCAAGTGCAAATACAAATGTTTACCACAAGGGGGCGGTATTACATCAACCTTAAAATAATCTTCAATGACATTTAACAGTATATTTTTTTAAATGTACGAACAGGGTTCTTATGTGTAATTAAAATGTAATAATCCCTTTACTAATCTTTTGACGTCAGGATTTAGATCATATTATATTATGCAAGGAAAAAAGGCACAACTAGACAAAATTCTTTCCAAAACCTGGAAATTTTATTTACAGTTCAAGTCAGTCACATGCAACATTTTCTTTAAACGAATAAACATAAAATTAGCAAAAAGGAAAGAAAAAAAGTGTCATTTTAGTTTTTTCCCCAAAAGAGCAATATACAAAAATAGAGCTTACAAATACTGTACAGCATATAGTCTCCAAAAATATTCTGCTGCAGAATTCTTAGTTTTACAAACAATGTCTGTGAGACTTCACAAACATAATCAGTGTTAAAAAAAAAAAGGGAAAAGTGAGGAGAATTCAAGGGAAAAGGTAAAACGACTTGTTTGGACAAAAGGGAGGAGGAAGTTATTTGTGAGTTTGTAAGAGCTACAGAGGAATAAATACACAATACAAACAAACACAGGTTCACTTCAACAAGGCAGTGATAAGAGATTAAAACCCTAAATGATCTGGTTGCTAAAACCAACCATGGAAAACATGAAGAGATTCAAGCAGCAAAGAAAATGTCACTGGGTTTCCTTCTTTTTTTTTTTTTTCTGTCAAAATGAACACTACCCGTCATAAAACGGTGTTGTGATCAATAACTCCCTTTTCTTCTGTGGTTATCAGTAAATTATTTATGTCTAACGGTGCTCCTGACTGGATGTCTATTTATAACAGCTCAGTCCAAGGCAACGCTGACGTCAGGGATGATTTCAGCGGTGGGAAGACATTTCTTACTGTGCTCTTCAGCCCCATTTTTTTTCCCCCTCTGTCGTCACACAGACTCTCTTTAATTCCTAACATTTCATGTCTGGTTGGCACTATCAGGACGGCGGGCGGGAGGAAAACAGGGAGGCATGTGTGGGGGAAAAAAAAACAACAAAGTCTAATAACCAACGACAAAGGTGGACAAATGGCAGCAAGTGTTAGCTGCTGTGGGGTTTAGATGAAGGACTCGTGTGGAAATTAATCCTGTAACAAGAATGGCATGGCAGTCGTTTTGTTCACCACAGATGTAATGAAACACATCTTTCTTTGTTATTGCAACAGTTTTTGTTCAACTAAGGCTAAAATGTCCCGTGTTGAGTTAATGCCAGAGTATCGGCCGACGCTTTCATCTAGGAAAGGTCCAGTCCTCTTGTGTGTTGGCTGACATTCGGCGGAGATGAGACATTCGTCAGAGTAGCGACACTTTTCTAACTGAAAGCCAGAGACGCTTTGTTGAGATCATTGCTTTGTAGCGAGTGTGCAAAGAGAAAACCGAAAGGAAAATAGGACCAAGATGGTGTTAGAGACACAATCAGTGTTATAATGTAACAATTTTTTTTACATGGATTAAATTTGGTCCTATTCAAATGAAAACTGATTCGACTTAACTGATGAAACGATGTTTAAGCACACAACTGTTATGTTAAAGTCCAGTTTATGCGACGATCAAGAGTACAGATTCCCGGATTTGACCAGCAAGTCTTGAGTTTTGACACCCGTGGTTTGGATCAAAGCAGATTCATCGTCGGCAAAAATGAGGTTTAAATAGATCCACAAAGACTTACAGCTGCAGAGAAAAGTGACTATGAATGACTGGTGGGGCTGAATACAAATGCAAACGGCTCACTTTTCAGATTTATTTGTTGAAAAGATAACGGGACATGAAGACTACTGCAACAGCATGCCGATATAGCCTAATGTTATTTACGCTCCTTTTGTAGACAAATAGCTCTCATTTCCATTAAAACAGATCAGACCGCAGATTGTTTGACAGCCTGTCTCAAACTTATCTTCGATCCGTCGCTGTGGAATAAGCAGCGTTCCCAGTAGCGTTTGTGGGAAAAGTATCACTGTGTGGCCACAAGTTACTTAGGCCTGCAAAAAGAGATAATTCAGTCATAACCATAAATTGCAAGTGTGTGGGAATGAAATGTTACTGAGCGGTAATTTCTGAGAAGTGGATAACTGTGGCCATGGCCTAATAATAGATGACCACAAGATAAAGAATGTATCATTTGTTTTACTGACGGGACAGGAGGTGTCCAATGTGAGTATTATCAGCTCTGACGGGTGCCAAACTTCTGATTTCACATTATCATCATCTTGTGACTGATTATAACATGCTGTAAGGACTATCAGTTAAAAACACTATCATTATGCTCTCTAAATCCCGCTGATCACCAAACCGAAGCCACAAAACACTTCATTACCAAACCTCAGTGAGCTATTTTAGCCCACTAATGTTACCAGGAGGGGTGTGTGGAGTTCACAGCAAGGCCTTTCAGCTAATACACCAAATTCAGCTAACCAGAGGACAAAAAAGTATCCACAAAAGCGCGGCTCAGAGATGAAGTACGTGTGGCACGAAACAAAAGCACGTTGTACCGAAACAGAAAGGAGGGGGGAGGCGAAAGCACCAGAAGACTGCAGAGAAAAAGCAGGAAAAAAGGGGATAAACTGCAATGTGTGTTTGCATGAATGAAAACCCTGGTTCACTCCAACCTGCTGACCACTGACTATGGCAGTGTAGCTGAGAGAAAGGAGGGTCAGCCCCAGCTGCTCCCTTATGTGCATGTATGTGCGCCCACTAAAAGGATATGCTGATTACACGCTGAGGCCAGGACTCGTGGCGCTGGTGCCAGTTCACTGACTCGTGCTCCTAAACGCAGCGGTACCGAGAAAAAGAAAAAAAAAAAAGAAAAAAAAAAGAGAAAATAAGTGACAAATGGATTTACACTTTTGTGGCAAGAGAGATGAACTAGCTGACACTACAGCACATTTTGAGGGAAGATTTCTTTTTCATTCTGTTGTGTTCCAGAAAAATCAACTCTGTTGCAGGATCCGTGAAGCGACTTTCACAGCTTTCCTTAAAAGTCTCCTGCTTTCATCCGTGAAGTACACGAACCTTAATCTGATGACATTAATACAGGAAAAAAAAGGTCAATGAAAAACTAGAAAACTAGAATTGTTACATCTATTAAACAGCTCAAAGACCTTGGTTTAGAACGGATATTTTTGACTTGAAGTCTAAATTTTGCAGACAACTGGATTAGTCAGAGTAATGCCTGGGCGATGGTGACACAGTCAAACGTTTCACATTTAAGCAAACACAACTGTTCCAGAGTTGTCCCTTTGAGATTTCTGTAGAACTGTAATGTTTTAAAACCTGTCCGTCTGCTTTGTACACGGAAAAGAGGAAGAAATAAAATATAACACATGACCTTAGGCCTAAGCAATCAAGATTTTGCTTTCTCATAAAGTGCTTTTTAAATGAAACAAACAAAAAATATATATATATATGTATCTTAGTGTAGTGAAGTTCTTGGCTTTTGCGTTTTCTTCTTCCTTGTCTTTTGCTGGTGCCCTCCAGAAAAGCGCTTTGGTTGTGAAAAAGTAACAAAAAGAAACTTCTTCTAGATCAACTTCATCGTCCATGAAGTAAAAAAAAAAAAATAATAAAATAAAATAAAAAGAACAGTTGATTATCAGCCACTCTGTGCTGACATAAAGGAAATCCTTTTTTTTTTTCTTTTTGTAACCGATGCAAAAATAAAAAGAGGTGATGACGACCGCAGACTCTCAGTTTTTGTGAACTTCTGCTCAGTTATTCCAGTTTGTGTCAGTTCACACACTCTCACCGAAGGGTACCTGTTTAAGGTGCGAGTGTGAGCGTTGGGATGTGTTTTGTTGTGTGTCCGCCGGCTGCTTTCCGAGAGGGACTCAGTGTCCGCTACACCAGGTTCTCGGCGCCGGGCAGGGGCTGCTGGACGGGCAAGGGGGGCTCTATGGTGCCGGCCTGCTGGGCGAGCTGCAGGACGGGCATGTTGCACAGCGGGCACACTTTCCTCACCTCCAGCCACTTAATGAGGCACCTGACGGATAGAAAAATGAGCCAAGGTATGTTTAAAATGTCAGATTTAGAAAAAAAAAAAAAAAAAAAGATTTTAGCAACAAAAAATATTTAGCTGGTTTTTCAATCCCATAAACTCTTACTGGCCAAGAATTACCTTTCAAAACAAGAATATATATATATATATAACCAAAAAAAAAAAAAAAAAAAAAAAAAAAAAAAAAAAAAAAAAAATTTTAAACCAAAAAAAAAAATTTTTAAAAGTTTGAAAAATTTAGAGAAAAAAA